TTGGCCTCCCTTCTAGTATTCTTCGTACTGTAATAACTGGTTGATTTATATTCGTGTTAATTTTTTAGACTGTTTTCAGTAGTTCTCTCTATGGCTGTTTCCTGCTTGCAAATAACTTATCTAGTCTGGCTTCTCCAACTGGTAGGTTGTTCTGCTTAACCGTCGGCCTTTATCATGCTGACTCAATATGAATTATATGTACGGTCCGATACTTGTGATTTGTGAAGTTAAACTTTCAGGATGACAGTATTTTCTGACTAGTTTGAGTTTGATAATTCTCTAGGAACCTTAGTTACATGAAATCCCTACTGTTTTAGTTTAAGGTAGTCTTAGTTTTGACTTTTTCCTTAACCACAAAAATGGAAGGAACTTTTGCCATTTCGATGTTCTAGAGCAACATGGATACAATTTTCTTTTGCACATAAGAACAAGAAAAAAAAAACTAATATATTCCCCATTCAAAGAATGCTCTAGTATAAGAATTTGAGTTTTTCTAGTGATCAGTTTTAAAACTGCGACAGGTTACTTGACATTCTTCTCCACAGGCTTTTCTGAAGGAAGATACTGCTATAGACTTGTTATATTTGATGATCAATTTGGTGCATCGTTAATATGCTGTTCACCAGTTTTGTAACTCTTTTGTATGGATCAGGATTGAATTAGAGGTATGCCCTAAAAGGATAATCCTGTTTTAGTGCTCTTATCGTCATGGAGGTTAGTTTGTTAATTTATTATAATGCTTATATAAACCGGTAGAGGAAAAAACAGTGGACCAACGAGGCATGATAAGTACGTTGTCTTTTAATCTTTGATTGAATTGGAGGATGCTTTAGGTGTGTTGCATTTAATGTATATAGCCATGGTTAGCTGTTTTCTCAAATATTCATATTCTTCTCTCAGGCGACAAAAGGTGACAGAGGCAAAATTTCTTGAAAAAGAGACGGCAAAAAGATTGGAAGAAGCCATTCGTAAGAAAGTCGAAGCGAGCCTGAATGACGAGGACGTTAAGTTGGGAATCAACAGGAAGATGGAGGAGGGACGGAGAAGGCTTAACGAAGAAGTGACAGCTCAACTCGAGAAGGAAAAGGAAGCTGCCCTTATCGAGGCCCAACGGAAAGAGGTACATTTATTTCTCATGCATGCAATATACATACCTCTTGGTTTCATTGGTTCGGTTCGATTTGGTTCAGGTAGATGTCTAAGAAGTAGTAGTTGATTTTGTAGGAAGAAGCTAGAAAAGAGAAGGAAGAAGTAGAAAGGATGGTAGAGGAGAGGCGGAGGAGAGTAGAAGAGGCTCAGAGAAGTGAGGCTTTAGAGAGACAACAGAGGGAGGAGGAGAGATATAGGGAACTGGAAGAGCTACAAAGGAAGAAAGAAGAAGCCATTAAGAGGAAAAAACAGGAAGAAGAGGAACAGCGACTTAACCAGATGAAACTTTTGGGTAAAAACAAATCACGCCCCAAATTGTCATTTGCCATTGGCTCTAAATAATTAAAATATTTGTCCAAATTGAAGAAAAAAGTAAATGTTTAGTTTTCTTTCCATTCGTGAATTTGACTCGATTGTTCTCACGTTCTCACTCTTCGTGTAATTCGTGTAATTTGGGATGACATTTTTTTTACTTAATGCCATTATGTATTCCTTCCTCTCTTGATGAAAGTGCTTTAGGTATATGCTTGGATGTCGTGTCTATGGTATTTGATTGTGAGCTCGTTGCGAGTGAGCCTTAATTATTGAATCTTAACTAACTAAAAAATTCGAACATATTCCAGAATTTTGGGATGAATTCATGCTTTTTACTATGTTATTTGGTAAATTAATAATTGACTTTTTAAAATTTCTTGATAATACCTTTGCTCTCATGTTTGGTATGGTATGAATAATTAGAATTTCTTTCTAAGACATGGTGACCAATTTTATATATTATATGCTTAACCTATTTTTTTTTTTCCTTCATAAAGTATAGATAATAGCTATTAAAAAAATAAATAAATAGTAATCAAACAAATATAAATTACAAGACTTTTGTACATGATTTCTAAATATTTTATGTGTCTAATTATATGTATATAAAACTATAGACTATGATAATAATCATGGCATATTTGGTATCTTTAGACTATATTATAGATAAAAAAAAAAAAAGAGACATAAATAGAGAATCTTATTTATTATCAGTCCTGAAATTCTATGCAATATTTCAAGAATGTAGTTTTCTTTTTGGGCTAAAAATGTGATTTAAAAGAAAAGGAAACAAATAGAATATAAAAAAAATAATAATATCGACCTTCAGAATGTAATTATGGATTGAGTTATATTTGAATGACTAAAAATAAAAAAATTTAATTATTTTTTAAATCTTTTTCATTGATATAAAAATATTAATTATGACAAAAAGGGAAAATATTTTAAATTTTAATACAGGTTTTTAAAATTTAATTCAAGCGAACACAAGAAAATAAAAAATAACAATACTTGTATGCCAAGAATATGGGTAATTTTGGTACGATCCTAAAATTTAGTTTGAGTTAAATCCAACCCATTCAAGCTTATTATTAATTTTAAAAAAATATCATATAATTCCTTATACAATATTTTTTGTAATTATTTGTTCTTGAGAAATATATATTAAAACTAAATTCCCATGGTAAATAAATAGATATTTTACATTTTTATTTTTAAAAATTTGAATAAAAGATTATCTAAATTAATAAAATTTACTGAGTTAACTCAACTTATAAATATCCTCACCTACTATACATCACTTTTTAAAAAAATTAAAAAATTAAATTGTTTTAATAAACATATGGTTAGTGAAACAATTAAAACCCAAAAAAAATAATCGTATATATTTTTTAAATTTTTATTTTTTTTTTAATTTTTATGAATACGTATATTTTTAATACTAAAATAGTCACGTTATTCTATCCCAAGAGTAAAAAATAAAGAAGACTTTTGAATTAAAACCTAATAAAGTTATAAAAAAAAAATACTTTAACCACGAAATGTATCATATTTAAGGAATAAGATATATATATATATATATATATATATATTTAAATTTCATTATATAAATTCAAAAGTTTCAAATTTACCAGATTTTGCAATTTTTCACGTTAGGAGTAGAAAATTTCTGTTTAGCTAATTATATTAGTTGTAGCAGACATACAAAAATAAAAGAAATATGAATTTTTTTAGGATTAGATTTCTAATTTCACCTAATTTCAAATTCCATTTTTTTTCTTGGATGAAATTCAATTATCCATTTTCTAGAATTTTATTAACTCTTCCAATTCGAAATCAGGTCAGCCATGAACACCTCCTTCTCTAGCAATTTCATCTTCATCCACAAATTCCATAGTTGTCCACTAGTGAAACCTTCTTCCACCGGGAAAGAAGAAAAGGAAAAAGGAAAGACAAAGACCTAGTCCTCTTTGGGTGTGGGAGCAGAATTGAAACCGTCAAATGCAAGGCAAAAAAAAAAAAAGCGTAATGCGAGGAAGCTACTTGAATCGGACGTAGTGATAATGAACGATTATGCGAAGGCTGATTTCAGAAATCAAATACAAGCATTCAATCAAATCTCACTTCACAAAAGCGTATTCATCTTTATTTAACCTCCTTCCTTTCCTCTTAAGAAACTAGACTTCGAGAAAGGATCAGAAAACACTCGAAATACACAAAAGCATCGTTCACACACTTATTATATTCCACATCTTCCAGTGAACCAGCAATGAAAAGCAAAATAGAGCAGACGATGAGCGAGAACATCCGTTAAGTTGCACGCAAAGAAGGCCGAAAAGTAATATAAACGATTTATAACTTTACATACACATCTATGCACAGAGATAACACAGGCAGTTAGGATTCGATTCAGGAAAATTAGCGAACAAAAAGTAAGAGAACATACATACGCGATTTCCGCATCGCGATTCCTCCTCCATTTACTTCACAAAGATCACAGGCTTCGTCAATTTGTAAATTTCGTAAACCGAACGCGACCGCCGCTTCCTCCGCCTCCGATTCGCTCCGTCTCCGATTTCTTCGTAGATGTCTTCTATCGGAGTGGTTGTGGCTCCGCGGCGACCGTTGTTTCTTCCGTCGTCTTCCATTTCAGCGGCGTTGGAGTTGGAGTTGGAGTTGGAGGCGGAGGCGAGGGATTTGTCGTCGCTGCAACTGGTAGATGAGGCGGTGAGTTCGTCATGGAAATCGGAGTCTTCGCTGAGATGAATAAGCTGTATTGCGACGTCGATTTCAGAATCGGAGAAGGAGGAGGTCTGGAATCTTCGATTCTTGCTGGTGGAAACTGATTTCGCCATTAGAGAGTACGTCCGTTGAAAGCTAGACGAAGGGTAAGTTATAGACGGACGCAACACATACGACTGCTTACAAATTACATATATATATATATATATATATGAATAAGTGGGTCGGTTGTTTTTCTTAATCAATTAATCAATTAATTGTTTATTATTTATTTTAAATTAGAATCTAATTAAGTTATAATGGGAATAGATTATTAATTATTTTCATTAATATTATTTATTTTGGACGTTTAAAATCAATGATCCAAAATATTTAAACTCATTATTAATTTTAAAAAATAATTTATTATTATTAATATTAATATTATATTTTTAATAAGAGTTGTTTGAAATATATCATTTACTCGAAGTTTAACCAGTTCTAATTCTATTTTATTATTTTACTTATTTAAATGAATAAATAACTAAGATTAATATTGAGTGCATATTATCACGGTGTAAAATATATTATTCTCAACTAATCAATTATGAGGAGAGATTAAATATTTACTCGAGACAATTTAAATCAAATAAGTTGTGACAATTAGTATTATTAATACACGACATCTAATCTTATCCATATACTATACTTTAAATTATTAGTAATGGAATTAAATTATTAAAAAGGATATATATAATAACATAATATATTAAATAATTAAAATAAAACAATAATTAAGGATTAATAAATACAAATGAAAAAGAGGATAAAAAGGCGCTGAAGAAATGGGAGTACTAACTTGGAACGGCAGCGACGCAACTACCTTCGTTCTTGATTCTTGAAGCTCTCATCAATGGCGTTTCAACTCCGAATCAAGATCGGACTCCATGGCTATGTTGCTCTCCTCATGCTTTCGTTTTTCTTCAACAAAAACTCCATTGTCACCTCCATTCCAACGCAAGAACTCGATGCAATGCTCTCCATTGTCAGAGCACGAGGCTACAACCTCTTCTCCAACGCCATAACCACTTCCGACCTCCAACTTGACCTCCTCGCCGCCGCCGACAATGCCTCCTTTACCCTCTTCGCTCCCACCGACTCTTCTCTCTTTGCCCTAGCCATGACTCAGTCCGCCTCCGTCTACACCGCGACTCTCCGCTACCACGGCCTCCCTCGCCGACTCTCTGTTTCGGATCTCAACAGCTTGCCATCTCAGGTAGCGATTCCGACTCTTCTTCGCTCGCAGTACGTTTCTGTTACTCGCTGCCACCGCGGATCTCGCTCTGACGCCATTTCCGTTAACGGCATCAATGTCGTTCTGCCTGGATTGTACTACGGTCGTCACGTTGTGGTCCATGGCTTGGGAGGTATTCTCAGTCTCCATTCTCAGAACGGATATACGTACGGTTCTCCTCCTCCTCTTTCGCGGTTTCGCCCTAGCGGTCCAAGGAGCTTTCCGCCTCAAATCGATCTCGGTTCCAACGAAAACAGAGATTTCACAGTTTCGCCTGCTGATCGCTCAATCGACCAGTCGCCAGTTTCACCGCCAATTAGTCCGAGTAGTTTTTCAAACAAAACTGTAGATCTTCCTTTCAATCGCGTATTTCTTGGTCCTGCGTCAGAGCAACCGAATTTCCCGGTCGAATCGCCGGCGATTTCTTCGCCATCAGTTAGTCCTGGATATCCGCCGACGATTTCAAGTGATTTAACTCCGACGATGCAAAATGAGAACACAGTGACACCGACACCGACGCCGTTGATCAGCGGCGAGGAAGCCAGCGATTCGGGGAGGATGATGAAGTCGGAAGACGATATGACGGGAAGAACAGTGGAGGAGTACGAGCCATTGGATTGGATGAGTTTAGGATTCGGCGAAAGAAATTCAGACGATATTGATGTTGAAGACAGTCATCCTCGTCCGAATGAGGCGCGGCGTCTTTGAATTTTTCATGGACATGGAATGAAATCTCTCTGTTGGTCGCGCAGATATCAGATTGCAAACGGTACTGATTTTTTTTCTTCTTCATTCTTCCATTTGCAGCTTTCAATGGAAAATGAATTCGGTTTTTGATCTGCGTTCGAATGGATTCTGTGTTCATCCTTTGTTTGTGTTCATTGTGAGATTTCTTTTCTGAGAAATTTCAGTTCGTAATTTCATAGCATTAACATATGATTAAATTCACAGCTAAAATGGTTAAGCAAAATGATTTAAAATATATTTTTTTATATTTAATATATCTATCTAATATACTTAATTATTTTAATATATAATGTAACAATTATAATAAATATGTTTCTTTTCTATATTTAATAATATTGATTTTAACCTTTTCAATTTTATTTTTTAAATAAATTATTCTAATAATAGAAAGTTTATAGATTAAAAGGTTTGATTAACTAATTTTATTAATTAGTTAATGAACAACATAATTTATGTTTATAATAAAATTTATTGTGATACAATAAAAGATTCAATTTTTAATATTATAAGATTTTTTACTATTGTTTCCTAATCTTATAATTTGAAAATTGAATTTCGAAAGTTGATTTTTTTACTATTGTTTCGTAATCTTATTGGTAAAATAGAAATTTATTGATAACGTAAAGATCAAAAGATGGTTGGAATAGTAAATCTCTCGAGATTTGTTTTTCGCAATCTACCTGGTTAAAAATTTATTGATAACATAAAGATCACAGCTTAAACGTTGTTTGCCCATATCCCTTTACGAGAGAAGAAGATTCATTAGCAATTTTACCTATTTACCATATTTATTAACCTAAATCTCGTAAACTATGCTTCAACTACGATGATGTTGGTATACTTTTAGCTCCGAAGCATTGGTACCCTAAGCCATTATCGAAGTGGACCTGATTGTCGAATCGGAATTTCCTCTCGATGCGACAGAAGAGATCGGAGTTAAACAAGAATAATTTATACACTTTTATAAATATAATAATTAGATTTCATTTATATCTCCATGTAATTATTATTTAAATTATTTCGTAATATATATATTTTATTTGTTATTACGTATGGTAATTTTTTTTAAGTATTAATAAGTAAATTATTAAATTAATAAAAAAGAATTAATATTTTTGAAACGTTGTATTAATGATTTTTTTTTTTTCAAATCAGAGTATTTATATATATTTTTTAAAGAGTAATTTATTTATTTATTTATTTATTATTATTATTAATTTAAGAATTATATATTATGGAAGGAAGGAAGGAAGGAGCAGAGTATACTTGGCAGCAGGAGACGAGAAAGGCGAGCAGAGTGGAAACATGGATTTTGCTCGTCTCACTGAGGCCTTGGATTCCAAATCTTACGAAAAGATCGCTGATATCTGTGATGAACTCATGCTTCAGGCCAGATAATTTTGTGCTTTAAGTTTCACTTTGTTTGTTCCTCGATTCTCCGAAACCCTGGCTTGATTTGTTTAAATTCACGTTTACTTCAACAGGCTGCAGCTGAGGGCATTGCTTATCAGGATGAATGGCCTTACACAATCCATTTTCTTGGCTATCTTTACGTTGATGATATGTAAGATCATTTTCCATGATTCCTATTCATTTCACTTCAAATCGTGAAGAAATTTTTAGAATACTGGAATACTTCTTGGCTGAATCTTTTGTGGATCTTGTATTTTGATCTGGGTTTGAAGCGCCATTTTACTTCTTGGGTTACTTGAAGGAATTTTTAACTACATTTGAGAAGTTTTGTTTCTTTGGAACGAAATAAAGATTAGGGCACCAAACTAGAAAATTGTGTTAGATAATGTTATCATTGATTGTACTCAGTCTTCAGTTTCCTTGGGAGTGTTCTTAAGTTTTGTTTCTTGGCTCAATTTCTGTTTCAGATATCTTTTGTTCATTCATTTTCCAGCCTTTGTTCTTTCATTAAATTTTTTTCGTAATTAGGTTAATATCATAACACTTGGTTGAAGTTGAGTTTCCTTATCTGAATTTGTGGATTATTGGCTGACTGTTAACTGTTAAGTGGTTTCTTGCAGCAATAGTGCTCGATTTCTCTGGAAAGCAATACCTTCCACTATAAAAGAGAACCGACCAGAACTGGTTGCAGTTTGGAAAATTGGCCAAAAGCTATGGATTCGGGACTATGGGGGTGTTTATGAGGCTATTGATGGATTTGATTGGTGTCAAGAGGTTCGAGGCCTATTAGCAGCATTTTCAGGCAAGTCGCTTTTATTTTTTCCTTTTCAAAGGCAACGAAATATTTCATTGGTGATATGTAAGTAGCTAGTAAATTCACATTAATTCCATTCAGAAATCCAACAAACTCGGAGTGCCCCCCGAAAGAGATATAAAATGCTACTGCCCATACAAATGATATGATAACACACACATAACTTCTTGACAGGATTGAGAAGAAGCCATTTCAGACAATGATGGGGACTATTAAAAAAACCCGAAGGATTTGACAACCTTTCAAAGAATCTTTAGGTGAAAAAAACCATTCCATAAACCATTTCATCTGCAAAATAACCCAGAAACTCAGACACAAACAAGCTGGAATAAGAAAGGGCCTGAAAAATCTGTGAAAATAAAATGACTTTCCCATTGAACATCTGGGAAAGTTTTCATGAAATTACATATTAGGTTAGAGTATAGTTTCAATTTGGTCCTCATGGTTTTAGAAGTTTCAACGTAGTTTCTATGGTTTGGACTTAGTTTCAATTTGGTCTCTATAGTTTTAAAAGCTTTAGTTTGGCCTTTGTGTTTTGGACTTAGTTTCAATTTTTCTCTAGTTTTTAAAGTTTCCATTTGGTCCCTCTGACTTGGGCTTGGTTAAATAAAGAAACTTCACATGTCGTCCCAGACTTTGTGTTTTACCCACAAAAAAATTTACTTATTTCCTCACATTTCTTTCTTAGCCTTAAACCCTAATACAATCAACCTACACAACTAAAATAGAAAATAACATCATATTGCCATGTAAAAAAAATTGAGAGTAATGATAAAGATAATTTGTGAGGTTTGACTAAGTCAATAGGGACCAATTTGAAACTTTTAAAACTACAGGGACCAAATTTAAATTAAGTTCAAACCATTTGGATTAAATTGGAATATCCCTATAGGGTGGGAGAGTAAGGTTGCCTGTTGTCTAGCTCCTGATACTTAATCTAAAAACGAGGAAGCATGATTGAACCTTGGAATGACATAAGGTGAATGTGAATCTAATTATAAAATATAAGAAGTTGCAATGTGAGCAGTTTGTTAGACACAAAAGCAACAAGTTTGTCCTCAACTTGTTTGAATTAAAAATTAATAAATTATAATTGATTTGCCGTATTTTGATGGGATGGTTACAACCGCATACTACTTATTAAGCCCTTGTTGTCACTGTCTAAAGGCAAGGCTCCTACACTCCACAACGTCATGAACTTCATTGGTACCGATCCAAACCTTAAGGGAGAAACTGTCTGTTTTAACAATGCCAAATTCCTCAGTTCCTATCCCAAACCTTAAGAGTTTTTGGGATTGAAAACTCTTGTTTTAACTTCAATGCTAGCAACTTGTTGGATGTGTCTATGTTATACTTAAAATGCCAAATCTCATGAAAGAAAAAAGAGGATAAAAGAAGAAAAAAGGGGGAAAAAGGAAATATAAAGAAAAAAAACCTGTATCAGGTAAAAATGGATGTTGTCAGACGAGAGTGGTTAATTTGGATGTTGGTTACTGGAATTCCCCAGCCCCAGCCTCAAACACAAACTTGCTTTTTTGGGGTGTCTTTGTTTGGTTGGGTCCTTTTTGTTCTTAGAGAGCTTGTTTTGATCTTTCTTGGTTGCTTTGGATATGTGTTTTTAGTTTGGCCGAGTGTTTTGTTCTTTTCACTCCCTATGGGAGTTTGTATCCTTGAACTTTTATAACTTTTGATCTTATGGACAAAGAGTTATTTCTTGTTAAGAAAAAGGAAAAATTAACATCAAGAAACTTAAAAAATATGATATGAATATTGAACATCAATATAAGCTTTGTTTTCATGCTGCAGATCTTTACAGAAAAAGAATGTTTCAGTTGCTGGTGTCTGCTTATTCTACTATAAGTATCCATGATACAGCTCACTTCTTGGGAATGAATGAGGAAGAAGCCAAAAATTGTAAGCCTCTTTTGCTAGTTACTTCTTGTCTCTTATTAGAATTTCAGCATCTATGAGTAATGAGTAAAAATTTTGAGGGGAGAGGTTCCCACCTGGTTAAGTGGGAGGAGGTGGTGGTGGCCTTGTGGAGCTAGGAGGATTAGGAATTGGGAGCTTGAGATTCTGTCATGAGGCTTTCTTGATGAAATTGTTGTGGTATAGAGTGATTATCTGTAGACTTGACCCTCACCCTTTTGAGTGGAAAGCTATTTCTCCTCAATTTCCTTCTTTCTCTCAATTTATCAATTTCTCTATTAGGACTGCTTGAGAATTTATTTTTTGTTGGATCATTGTGTGGGTGATGAGTCTTTCTGTGTTTCATTTTCATACCATCTTTTGAACAAGAGGTTGCATCTGGTGGCTTCAGTGTTGCCTTCCTCAAACGCTACTTCTTCAATTTCCTTATGTCTTCGTCGTCCTGTCTGATAGAGGGCCGCTTGATGTGGTGGGCCTTCTTTCTCTTCTTCGAGACGAGAAAATCTGACGTAGAAAGAATGTTAGGATTTATACCCTTGATCTTGTAAAAAAAAAACACCTCCACTGATTAAAGAGGGCAGATAAACTATAATTACCAATAGTTGGATACAATTTGCACCAAGTTTTAGCTAAAAGAGGCGGATTCCAAAAGAAAAAACAAACATGACAAAGCCAAAGGATCTTTTGTCCTTTTTGAATGGATGACCCAAAAATAACAGAGAGATGAAGGAAAGGATATCACTTGGTCTTGAGAATTCCCATTCAAAGTTGCCTTGTAAATCACTGAAAATCTTTGAAGCGAAGGCGCGACTACTAAAAATGTGAATTTGGGTTTCTTCCATGGAAAGGGCATAGGACAGAAGCTGGGAATCTTCTATGACAGCTCCAAAGGTTGTTAATGTAAGAGTAGCTGAGCTCACAGAACTTACCCTTTTTGGGTATTGACCAGGCCATACATGATGATATAGAGCTGAATTGTGCTTGATTCACTGGGGGAGAGGACCTTTGACAGAGACTTTGTTGTAAGGGAATAGATTTTTCCAGATTCCAGCACCATAAATATTATCTGCCCGATGTTATTGAGGACTTCTAAGTGCAAACCACCTTTGGATATTATTAAATGCATTAAGATGCCTCTGGAACCAGAGTCGCATACCTATGAAGCTGAGAGTCTAAATTAGGATGTTACGATCGTGAACAGTAGAGAAACACCACTACTGCCCCACCACAAAGGATGAATGCCTCAAAACATGGTCCAAGGTGTTAACCCCCAATCAAGAGTTGCCAACCAAAGAAGAATTTGATCCTCTTTGGAATTTTGACCTTCCATGAAAGAGGGTAGAAAGACCCCAGAGTAGAAGAGATCACAAAAAAGACTATGCCTACACAAGAAAACCCTCTATCTCTAGAAGGATGTGGAAATTTTAGACAGTAATATCTATCAGGGCCTTCTCATCAATGAACTCCCGACGTATACTCTAAGGAGTGCGGTTCGTTCAATAGATTTTTCAAAACTTCATGGAGATGCAGAAGAGAAATACTATCCTCACTCGTACCAAGACATAACTTTTACTTGTTCAAATAATAATGAAGGTGAAACAGAATTGGGAACAACGAATCTTTTCATGATAAACAAATTCATTTTGTAAGTTTGTTATTACAGGTAGTTCCTATAAAGGTTTCGGGCCTTTCTTGCTTAAATTACCTCTATCTTGTAGGTCTGTTCTTTTTTGCAAAAGGATTGCCTTCTGTATTTGGAGATAATGTTTCTTGAAGTAGGCTGGTTTTTAGATGGCTATATTATTTAGACCTTAAGTTTACAAACAAGACGCCCTGTTTGTACTTGCAGATGTAACAGCGCAAGGATGGATTGTTGATGTTGCTTCTCAAATGTTCACTGTGAAGAAACAACAAATCGTGACGGAGCAGAAGTTAGATTCCAGCAAATTGCAGCGCTTGACCGAATACGTTTTCCATCTCGAACATTGAGCATAAATGCTTTAGTGTTCTCAGTTCGTTCGTTCCATGTCGTTTAGAGCGAATTGTGCTTTTAAATACATGGGATATCAACTGTGAACTGCTCTGCTATATTTCTTAGAGATTGTTACTTTTGTATAGCTTTAAGAACCTTAGCAAAGATTTTACTCATTTGAAAAAGGCTTACTTTGATTCATACTCCTAGAAACTCTTGTGCTCGTAAATGAGTTCCATTTAAATCATTGATGGTTTCCATGAATTTTGATGCTTATTCTATTTTAGCTTTTAGAAAAGGGTTTGTGTGGGGCATCTAGATCCTCACAAAATCGAGTATCTTGAGATGTCGAGAATTGTAGGATCCCCCGTTTTATTTAAACGATCTTTAAGCTAATTTGATTTTCTTTTCGAGTTTGAGTTGGCTTATGAATCTATCTAAATTGGTTTAGGTTCAAAATTTTCTTGTTAATTTTAAATATACATTTTTTGATATAATTATATATTTGATAGACCGGTTTGATCTCGACTTACTCAACTAAGGTATTAGTCTTTGATCTATTAGGCAACAAGGTTGCATTTTTTTTTTCAAATCGATCAAATAATAGAGTTTTAGAGCTAATTTGAGTTGGAGAAAAAAAAATTTAAAGTCAATAATTTCTCATTTAAATTTGAATGATTTTTTGAGTCAATAAATTATTTTTCGGTTTTACTTTTTTTGTGTCTAATGACCTAGTTATGTGGTTGCCAAAATTCAGATAAGGTAAGTGTTAATAACGGAAAAATTTGTTTGAAGGATAAGAATGTGGTTCGTAACCCAAGAAAAACTTGCACACTAGCATGATACATGATACGTGGTCTGCAATCCAAGAAAAACTTAAACTTGCACGCGTGATACTTGTTGTGGGGAAAAATTAGTAAGAATAGACCAGAATCATCTGGATTGAGGACACGTTAAGCGCATGCTCTGTATGAGACCGAGTAAGGAACTTAGCTTTCAATCCAAGTTACCTTTCTATTACTAGAATCATCTGGATTGAGGACACGTTAAACGCATGCTCCGTATGAGACCGAGTAAGGAACTTAGCTTTCAATCTAAGTTACCTTTCTCTCCTATTTAGTGCCTTGATTTCCTCCTCGGTTTGATTTATTCCGTGTCGGATCTTTTACCTTATTTGGTACTTAATTTTTTTTAGTCTTTTATGCTTGATTCACATAATCAAATTTCACGCGTAACATTATCTCCCGCTCCTTAATTGAAATTCATGGTTTGACTTTAACATCACAAAGTAATTACCAAGGTAAACCTCGAATTATCTCTAGAATTACCATTTCACCCCATGAAAATGATTTGGATGTCTCTTACATATAAACAAGTTAGAAAAACCATATATAATTGGTAGAGCAAATTACAGAAAATTCTCGTATCACCGATTTGCTATGAAAATAAACAAGGATAATATATAGGAAATAATATAACTTTAGTAATAAGTAAGAAAAAATATTTGAGAGAGCGGGTCAAACTCGAACTCTTTGAACCTCTATTGTTAAGTTCAATGTAAAATATCGGCACAGCCCGACTATTAGTACCATACTTCAAAAGAGTGTTTAAAAAATACTCTCGAACTTTTTTAAAAACTTCAAAAACACATCTAAATTAAAAAATTAAAAAAAGAAAAAAAAATAAATACCGGCACCGTCCAGATTATTACTTTTGAAAATCCAAGAGTATTATTATTATTTTTTAAATTATTAATTTATTAAAAAAATAAAAAAAAAATATGAAAAATTTAATGTAGTAAAATTGGGAGGTTGATTCATGGGAGTGGAGGGAAGATCCGCAACCACTTGCGTGTAGTTCATAATTGTGTGTGTCTGGTCGTCATCTCCCCTTTCCACTTTCAGAAAACAACCAATTTTTGCTCTGTTTCTTTTCACAAACTTAGCTTTTATGAAATTCACAATCCCATAATTAATATTATTACTTCACCTTGCGTTTGTTAGCGACCCAGATTCATATTTCCTTCCATTTCTTCCCACTTTTCACCTAAATTTTTGTTAATTTTTGACTTGTGAGGAAGAAAGAGAACGGAAGAAGCAGGCGAAGCCCTAGAATTTCGGCATGGCTTCGTCGAATGTGGAGATTGCGTCCACGTCGAAGAACAATCCGGATCTGCCGCGTGAGTCCTCTGTTTGTTCTATTTCCACAATTATCGCTGATCTACAGCATAGTGATCCCTCCAGGAATTTGGTTTCCATGAGCATGGATGACCTGCTTAAGAACATTTATTCCGATGGTCAAACTCACAATCAACCGCAGCCGGAGAATCCCATTATGCCTGCCTCGATCCCCACCCAAGACACCTTTCCTTTGCCCAAGGATTTGAGCACCAGGTCTGTTGAGGAGGTCTGGAAGGAGATCGTTGCTGGGGGTGGTGATCAGAGGCGGGAGCCTGCTACGGATCACGAAATAACCCTTGAAGATTTTCTATCTAAGGCTGGGGCTGTTCACCAGGAGGATGTCAGGAGGGTCCCTGTAATCTCCGAAGCTGGGGGTTATGGTGTCGACTCGACGCTTAATAATCAGTTTCAGATTCCGCCGCAGCAGTTGGAAGGTGCGCCGGTTGGGTACGCTAGTGGAATCGATGGGAGAATGGTTGGAGTTGGAAGAGGGAAGAGAAGGGCTGTTGAGGAACCAGTTGACAAAGCCACACAGCAGAAACAGAGACGGATGATCAAGAACAGGGAATCCGCTGCCCGCTCCAGGGAACGCAAGCAGGTGATGGATTTGTTCTTAATGTCAGAAATCATGCGTTATTTTATCATAATTTTCTTGTTTCAATGCATCACTTGTTCATGAGGGGCTGATAAACTTAAAGAGTTCTATTATTTTGGCTGTCTTGGAAGCTGAGTTCTTGAACTTCATTCCTACGAGGTTTAATTTCGTGCGTTTATGTTTAGGCATATACGCTAGAGCTAGAGTCTCTCGTGACCCAACTGGAGGAGGAAAATGCACGGCTATTGAGAGAAGAGGTACCTCTGACTAAAATTCATGTTGTTCTGTTCTTCTGATGGTTATTTTGGTAGTTGTTTTTCATATTTAATCAAGTATAGTATCACTGCATTCATCGCCCCCGTCCCTTTCGTGCTCCCATCAACATAATACCTATCAACAAGATAACCAGTTGGATTGCATGTTCTAATGTCAGTTTGTGCCACTCAAGGAGATGACTCTCAAGTGATACATGTAACCTTTTCTTAAACCAGTATTATTCTGTTCGTTCTGTTGTAGTTTCTTTTTGAAACTTATGGTTGAAAGACGAGGGAAAAACTAGACTGACCCAGTTGACCCTGAGGGGGAGAGGATCCTGATCTTGGCTGTTCTTTTCCTGAAAGGCTGTGGAAGTCTCAGAACATAAGGGGTTATTACTAGTTTGAGTCATTGTTAGGGTAACTGGAGGTGTACCCCAGCCATTTCTTCAGGGTTCTACACGTTTGTTAAGATGCCTGAATTGGCTAGAACATGGTGAATATAAGAGTATTTCTCCAAGTATTGTTGGTATAAGAAAGTTGCATCTAAGAAGTTTGAGCTGGACTTGAACAACAAACATGGCCTCCGGCTGTTCTGTGACTGAGATGTTGATGGTATCACTAGTTTCATTGTCGGAGTTTATGGCTCATAGGAGTTCAGCAATGCCCCCGTCCCCCTGTCTCAAGAGTCCAAGAAGCTGAAGGATTTGACCCTCCTGAACATTTGATTCTGTTTCCTCTTCATTCTCCCTGAGATTGTAACAGGCAGTGATTCTTCTACTCGAAAGAAATACGAGGAAGTTCCCGTTAACTGTGATCTACAATAATACTTTTGGGACATCATGGTCAACAATTAATTCAGTAAAACTAATCACCATTCACAAATTATTAGTTTCCTTTATTCTGCTAACCTCACCGTCTATACGTACTTCTCTATAACTAGTAACATTATATGCACTATTAATGCCATAAAAAACGCCATTCCATGGTCGTCACTTCTGGAACTAGGTCACAATATGCCGATGAGTTCTGCTCATTTTACTAGTATGTTCTTGACTTGTTTGATGACTTTGGTCCGCTGCATGCTGGATTCATCTTAGGATTTCTGTATGTATCTGAGTCTAAATCATCATCCATTCAGAAGTTCTGAGGAATCAAATTCTAAATGCAGGCTGAGCACATCAAGGAACGGTCTAAGCAGGTATGTACTTCTTGTTCGACATGATTTTTCTTCTTTTGTGTAGTTGATGCATGCTTGAGAGTGTTAGATAACAACATTCTTTGTGATTTAATATTTAGAGATTTGTACCATTTGAAGAATACTTGTCTATGTTTCTTAATCCATAAGCTGTATAATTTTGTTTTTATGTATTTATTCATTTTTTTTCCTTTTTTGTTGTTTGTTTATTTTGTTTTGGAGTGGAGTTTTTGGAAATTTAGTATATCATGACGAGTTCTTGACGTATTAATATGCACAATGATAAAACTCGATAGTTATTAAAATAAGTTCGAGCATTCATGTAGTTTCTTGGGATTTCTATCCTTTTTTCTGTTGTGCCCGTCGGTCTTGTTCTTCATTTTTGTTCTTGTTTATTCTCTTTACTATCTCTTTTTCAAAGTCTACTCTTCATATGCTTTTATTCTCTTAGTTTTCTAGTTTCTCTATTATTAACGAAATTATTATGTCCTAAACAAAAGTTTGATGAACTTGTCTTAATTTATATACTATCTGTAAAATTTTCATTTGAAAAATTTGAAAAAGTACCTAAAAAAAACAAAAGAAATGGTTTCTGTGCACTTGGATTTTGTTATTTCATTTATTCTGGAGTTATTAAGCCTTGAACAACCATATGAGAATACAGCTATCTTTCTCCCATCATTGTTCTATAATTGCATTTTCTTTTCATGGAATAGAACCAAATCCTATAGCTTTTAACTAATTCATTCAGAAAAACAATCTAAACATTTCTAGGTAAGAGGTCTGAAAAGATGATTAAATGTCGGTGATCTTCGAAGTAGTATCTCTCTTAGTATATAATGTATGCATAAAATCCAGAGTAATATATTTATCAGTAAAAAGTAAAATCCACATTAATGTATTCATTAACCAAATGTGAACACAGAAAGGTAAAAGATGAAAAAATAAGGTGACCAAAAAGAATCCTGAAGCATGAAGCCGACAAATTTTTTTTTTTTTTTACCCTTTTGATTTTAACCTTTGGAAATCATCAAAGAAATCCCATCCCAATAATTTCTTTTATATTCTTATTATGGAATGCAAGCAATTAGAAACATGCAATAACCTAGGTTGTGTGGTTTACGGTATTGAATGGATAACTGTTCATTAGGAATTAGAATTAGCAATTAGTTCTTATTTTATTTGGATTGAGTACATCCGACCAGTTTTCTTAAGGTATCATCATTTAGTTCAGAAGGAAAATAAAATTTATTTGATAAAAATGCTGGATATAGTAATGTATAATTCTTTCATCTCTGCATCACAATTGATTCCTAGAATTTGAATTCAGCGGGGTTTGGGGAAAGTTATTGATTGTGCTAGTCTCTTTGAATAATTTCTCCGCTTCATTTGGAGTAACTTCACTTGGTACATATAAACTTAGCATGTTTTTACGTCTTAGTTTACATTTGTAAGCATTTGAACGTTTTCCTTTCTGCGAGTGTTTTCATAGTCATTTATTGTTGGAACTGTCTTTTTCCATCTCAAAAGACATAACTATTTCATTGTATTGCACTGAAGTTGCTGATTTTCTGATTTTTTTAACAAACACATTCTTTAGAAAGAACATTATGCCCATTTCATGTTTCCTTGAACCATCTGAAATTTGTCCATTGAACTCCAAATATGACCTGCCTCTAATTTCATTTCAGTTACATGTATTGGCTGTGTGTTCTACGTTCACTGAAACACAACGAAATTCTGAGTCTTTTGCTTGATTTCTTTGAGTGCAATTTGTTATTTCACACAAGTTATTAAACTTTATGGTGATTGACATTCGAATCGAATGATGCAATTAGATATAATTTGCTTGATCAAAACTCTGGTAGCATTCAATAGTTGTTTTGTTTGATTACTTTTTACCCCTTTGAAATGGATTGATTTGATGCTCTTTACTGGTGATAGTATTAGTAACGAACTGGTATCTTTATTGAAGCTCAAGGAGAAACTCATTCCGATCAGCGAGAAGCGGAGGCCACCACAGCGCATTCTTACAAGAGCAAATTCTTTTTAGTGGTAGCGGGTATGCTCTGAATCTGTGGAGGGATGGAATGAGTGTTTTAATTTACAGTTGTTAATCATACAAAACTGGGTTGTGTCTGCCAATGAAAAGGGGTATATAACCAAGTTAGTGATGTCATAGAGATAGATATTTGGGGAATAAAACACAAAACTGTCCAAGTAAATACAAAAAAAAAAAAAAAAAAAAAAAAAAAAAAAAAAAAAAAAAAAAAAAAAAAAAAAAAAAAAAAAAAAAAAAAAAAAAAAAAAAAAAAAAAAAAAAAAAAAAAAAAAAAAAANAAAAAAAAAAAAAAAAAAAAAAAAAAAAAAAAAAAAAAAAAAAAAAAAAAAAAAAAAAAAAAAAAAGTAGTTTGATGACGCGCCCTGTTTGAACTTATCGTTTATATAATCTTATGAAACTGTTGAATCTAATGTCGAAAAGAGGTGGTTGATACCGACGATTTGGACGGTTGCTGCATTGTGGCTGGTTGTGATTAGATTATACATGTGTATTGCGTCTGTTTTATTATATCAGGTGCTGAAGAAAAGAGAAAGAAGATAAGTAGATAAAAGAAGTCATTTTTGCATTATGGCTTTGATTTTCGTTTTCTTGCTGATGTAGGGAATGGGATGATTGTGGTTAATCTGAATTTGTTTGTATGAATGTATGAATGTTTAGTGCATCCAAGAGCTGTCCACATTTGCTCTATTTGTGAATGCTTTACCAAATCCATTGCCTTATTGCTTGAAATGATGATGATGATGATCAAGTTGTTCTTTTTGGGCTTAATATGCTATTTTGCTCTTTAAGTTTTGTTTGGTTTCCATTGTTCTTGAAGATTTAGTTTTGTTTCTGTTTCTTTTAATGGAAAAAAAATGAACTGAATGATAGAATGATGATGTGAAAGTTGGAGTGTCTTGCAAGAGAGTTCGTTTTATTTGTGTTTTTTTTTAGGTAAGGTCGGAAGACTCGCTTGTTTTATTGAAATTCAAAAAATAGCATTGCTTGGCGAATCGAAGTTTTCTCAATTTTAAGTTGTTGAGTTTCGCCCCAAAAAATTTTATTCAATAGGGCGAGAGAGAGTCTTTGCTTACTTGCTTAACTGTGCGGAAGGTGTATCTTTGGCTTCCGTTGTAGATTTTTTTTTTTTTTTTTGGTTAAAAAAAACCTATTTGTGACTTGACTCTTTTTGTGAAATTCTGTATTGGTTGGGGAGGAGAATAAAGCATTGTTTGTAAGAGTGTGGAGATCTCTCCCTAGTAGACATGTTTTAAAAACTTTAAGGGGAAGTTCAAAAGAAAAAGTCTGAAGAGATAATATCTGCTAATAGTGAGTTGGAGTTGTTACAAATGGTATTAGAGCCAACCTTGGGCGATGTGCCAGTAAGGAGGTTGAGCCCCGAAGGGGGTGGATTGGGGGCCCTACATGGATTGGAAAACAGAACCAGTGCTAGTGAGGATGTTGGAACCTGAAAGGGGGTGGTTTGTGAGATCCCACAATGGAGAGGAGAACAAAACATTATTTATAAGAGTGTGGAGACCTCTTCCTAGTAGATGCATTTTAAAAACCTTGATGAAAAGTTCGAAAAAGAAAGCCTAGAGAAGACAATGTCAGTAAGCTTAAATTGTTACACTTTCCTGGAGAAAAGACTTGGTCTTGTCGGACAAATTGAGTTGTCGATGTGGAATTTTGGACACTAGTTCATAGATATGAACATGAAACTTGAGACTATGATCTTGAGGTATTTTAATCATTAAACTATGTTCGAGTTAGTAGAAAGGTAACACAATTGAGATAAACAAAGAGAGATTAATTTAAGACTATGATCTTGACGTACTTTAATCATTAAACTATATTCAGAGTTCGTAGAGATGTAACATACTTGAGATGGAAAAAGAGATATTTCATTTCATAAGATTTTGAGAATTGTTCTTAAATAATTGCAACGTTTGCCCGTATATTTTTATTTATGTTAGCTATCGTGAACATAATTCACTAGTTAAAACATCATTTACCACTATATGCTTCTCACCCCACCCCTTACTGCACTAACGATCATCTTCGAGTATCGTCAATTTCTCAAAACTATAATATTGACATAATATATTGAATTTTTATAAATATATTTTCAATGTTTATTTATAATATGTCAATTCAACTAATTGATGCACTTTTTATAAAAAAATTAAACCCTTTATTTAAAAATATTTAATTATTTGAAAAAGATTGATACCAATATTAATTTATAATTTATTGATACAATCTTATAAATTGATTTTTGTTTTTTTTTTCTTTTAATTTGTATTTTTAAAAAACAAGTTTTTTAAAATAATATTAAAAAATAGAGTTATCGAACGGTACAGGAAGAACCGCGATTCAGGCGTCTCTCCTCCTCACCGTCTCCACTGATTCTTCTCTCTGAAATTCAAGTTTCAGCTCCGATATACACAATTGAATCTTCAGTCCTACTTCATCAGTCCCTTTCGATTTTTAGTTGCAAGGTAAATCTGGCAATGAAGCAATTGTTTTTATTTGATTTTTCAATTCTTTTTGTAATGAATTTCTTTTTCTCAATCATTCGTTCGAAACTGAAATGGAGCGAAAATAGAGTTCACTGATGCTGGTTCGATTCAAAACTATTCGTAAAATAGGATATTCAATTCGGTTTTCCAATAGCAAGATTCAAATCAAAGCTACTATTTCATTTCTATTTTCTTCTATTCTTCAAATTTTTGTATGAATTCGATTATTTATGAATGCATGTTCTTTAGTTGGACCTTCGAGATTTTAATTTTGTTTGTTTCTACATTGCAGTCATGGCTTTGCGTTTAGTGACTAGAAGGATTGGAAGTAAATTGTTTCCAATGTTTTCTTCTGCCAATCATTTACATTCACATGCTACAAGTTTTGGTTGGTTCCTCTCCCTCTCTCTCGCATTAGATCAAGGGATTTGGAGCTCTATCTATACTTGATTTTGAAGTGTCAATATTAATAATGTATCTCAATAGTTGTTAACGCTGTTGCAAGTAGGAGTTACATACCTTTATTGTTAGCAAACAATCTTCTAGTTTTCAAAATAGTATATAATATTTTTGTTGGAGAAACAATAAGGTTCTTAGGATTTATTGTTATGTAGAATTGGTTCAAAACCGAGGAATTTAGCTTTATAATCATTTTTTCTATTTGGGAAGAATTCCCTTAAAATAGGCTTTGGAATTTGGGGATGAAAGGGAGGAGAAAAGGCTACAGAACTGGAAGGATGATTGTTCTCTAAAGGTCGACTATTTTAGTTCAACCTGTCCTTGTATATTTTAAAAGTTCCTCTCGGGGTATATTTTTTTTTTAAAAATCTTTTTTCAATGACTGTGTTAATATCCTTATTTTAAATAAATCCATTTATCAAGGAGTATGAGAAATAGATAAGATTTATGGAGCTTTACTAATTTTCTTTTTTGTTCAATGGCTAAACTGATATTGAGTTTTTAAACGTGATGTCCCACATTGGTTGGGGAGGAGAACAAAACACCCTTCATAAGGGAGTGGAAACCTTCCCCTAGCAGACGCGTTTTAAAGCCCGAAAGGGAAAGCCCAAAGAGGACAATATCTGCTAGCGGTGGATCTGGGACGTTACAAATGGTATCAGAGCTAGACACGGACGATGTGCCAGCCTTCTCGCTGTTCCCCGAAGGGGGGTAGACACGAGGCGGTATGCCGGTAAGGATGCTGGGCCCCAAATGGGGGTGGATTTGGTGGGGTCCCATATCGAATTGGAGAAAGGAACGAGTGCCAGCGAGGACGCTGGGCCCGAAGGGGGGTGAATTGTGAAGTCCCACATTGGTTGGGGAGGAGAACAAAACACCCTTATAGAGTGGAAACCTTCCCCTAGTAGACGCGATTTAAAGCCTTGAGGGGAAGCCCAAAGAAGACAATACTTGCTAGCGGTGGATCTGGGATGTTACACTAAATTTCTTTGCCTAGATATTCAAAAGGTAGTTTTGTGCTACTTGAAGAAGCTACTATCACTATGTTCTGATATAATGATTTAAATTTATATTGCTTTATATACTGAATTTTCACATTTTATATAAATTTAATATTATTAAATTTTATTTTATCTTGAATTTTAGTAGTTTATGGCACACAATTTTATTTTTATCCAAATAGAAAAATTTTAAATTGTTATACTAAATTTTTAAGTAATAGCGAGGCATTGTCTACATATATTTATTGAAGGGAAGTTTACTGTCTACTTGATATGCTAGCATTTAACTAATGACGGTTAATTTTGAGTGATCGAAGCTTGTTTTAGATTCCAAACCAGTTTGATGTGAACTTAAAGTAACTTGGAAAGAGAGTGAGATAGCAAAAGATGCACGTTGGAAAGAGAGGGTGTTTTTTCTTTGAAGTCCATGGGCAATATGCTAAGCTAGATCTCTGCAGATGGCAAAGCTTGTTGCAATGTGTCTATGGATGCTATCTGGAAGTCTAATCTCTTAAAAGATAAAAAGTGTTTTTATGGATTTTTTCTTTGGAGAAGCTAAATACTTATGATAGGCTCCAATGAGAATGCTGAGTGGGTATTTTATATCATGCTGGTTCATTTTATATAAGAGAGATGGGAAAATGGAAGGCACCTGTTCTTTGATTTCCCTTTGCTGCAACGTGGTGGTACATGCTTTTCAATATTTTGAAGCTTTTGTTTTTTTCTTCTCAATGAAAGTCCAAAAAAGTTTAGTATTTCAGCACACACACATATATATACATATATATGTGTACATATATATAAGCTTTCAAGGGGTTTCCGATGTCTTAAAAGGTTATTTAGGCTTATGCATTGAAGCTTGCCACGAGACAAGACCTAACTCTTAGCCTCGAGACTTATGCCTTGTTTGGACCATAAGAAGCTTACAACTTTTACAGTGGAGACTTATGCCTCTATTAAAAACACATTGAGGCTTAAGTCTCTATACCTCGTATATTGATTAGAAAAATAATATTCATTTTCCTTATTCTTTGAAATATAAAGGTTTAAATTGCAAAGTTAAAACTATGACTACCTTTTGTACTTGGGCTTTAAAAATATTGAAGAGGAAAAACATCAAGCCTGCCTTTAACCTATTAAACATTGGGTTTTTTTCTTTTCCTGACAACAATGTTGATGGTCTATTCCAATTAATTA